TCTCTCTCTCCCTCTCTCTCGAGACACACAACACACTGCCCACAGACAAAATTGCACGCTTTCAATTCATGAGCGCTGGAACGTTCGTTTACACTCGTATTCACAGGCCACCACACGCTAACACAAGTCATGCCCAAGTCACGCCCGGACGCGAGATAGGGCAATTGAAACATCTTGGTAGGCGTATACATTTGTGTCATATTAATGCGTTTTGTTGCGAAATTGAGAGTTTATCAATTTCCCTTACACTGGCGAGCTCTGAGTCAGAGCTCAGAGTAAGGAAAAGCGACGAATGGTCGATCGGTCAAGGATCACTCCTTTGTTTTCAGGCTTTCATCTCATTGGATGGAATGAAACCGGCAGTGGACACTCCGTCTAAACAAAGGTTAAGTGCCGTGAACTGTGTGCAAGAAAACAAGGCTCGACTTTTGCAGTAACCTATTTTCTGCATTTAGTCATCCCTAAAGTAAAGCAAAATGTTTTTTTAAATACCTCCACGCCCCCACGCCCTATCCCCTCCCACCGTTCACACCTTAAGCCTAAAAACACACACACACTATACGCACGCACACTCTCTCGCTCTCTCTCTCTCTCAAACAAACTACACTCGCGGGCAACTCTATTCGTAAATAACCAAAGAATCCCAAGAACTGAAACCGTTCGGAGAAATACAGTTCATGTATATTTTCCCGAGAGTTCGGAAAAATAGACAGGCCTAAAAAATTGGCAGTGACTATTTCTCCGAACGTTCGGAGAAATAGTGCCGATCTTTATTTCTCCGAACGGTTTCCAGCTTCCGGTCTCATGATTTTTTGCCTATTAATTGCGAGAGTTCGGAGCCAACTTTCATTCTGCCTCTGGTCTGGGAAGGAACACCGCATAGCAAGCCCGCCTACAGACAACCTTCAGTACATGATGTAACACCCACCACACACCCACCACCATCATGCACATGTACACGCATTAACTAAACATGACCAGTGAGCAACTTTTGAACGTAGCTGTGGATGGAGTCAGTGTGAGTGAAAGAGTGGGTGAAAGGAAGAATGTGCGATTGTATCCACAGGCGACAGCAACTACAAGACGACGACACCGACCCCCCTGGCCTGGTCCACAGCTCAGGAACGAAAGGAATGCAACTCAGGCAGTGTTTTGCCTACTCTACATTATTGTCCATGGTTCGCAGGGTGCAAGGGAATGAGTGAGATTTTCTTTGTGTGTGCCTGGAGGGAGAGGGTGGGGTATGAAAGTCATGCGGACGGGGATGAGCCGCGGGAGAGAACACAGGAATTGAATGAATGAGTGAAACTGAAAGAGACAAACGACTCATGAACCCTGGAGTGAACGGATCCTGTGTTTCTATTTTTTGCTTCCCGAACGTTCTGAGAAATAGTGCCCAGCTTTATTTTCCCGAACGTTCGGAGAAATAGTGCCCAGCTTTATTTTCCCGAACGTTCGGAGAAATAGTGCCGGCCTAAAAAATTGGTCTCTGGGAACATTTGCTTTTAAATTGATTTTGACTGAGGGTCGAGGGAACACCACAGCCTAGGCCTTCCTTCTTGTCCACGAGAGTGAGAGCCAGACCCTCCTATTTCAAATGATTACTTAGGCCAATTAAAAATTGAAAATAAGAACTCACCATTGAGGAGTAAACGTAACTCGCATAG